TGAAACGCGCCGGAGACGAGGGGTCTTGGAGAGGACGGCGAAGGAAGACCGAAGAAGGAAGCGATCGAGGGAAGAGAGGAACGCGAGGGTCGCTGGCTAGGCCGGAGGAAGGACAGGGAGGACGTCGAGGAGGCTAGGACGCTAGGCTAGGAAGGATTTGGATTATTGAATTAATTACCGTTAGTGTTTTTTTAATAGTTATTACATTTTCCTAATTGCCGTTTGCTCGTTATTGGTTCTGGGTAACTTGAGCAATAACCCATCACATCCAAACATTACCGAAAGAAAACCAAATCCACCGTAGAAAATGAGATCAACGAACCGACGCTGGAAAGAGGACACCGAGTGGGAGCACTCAGGTCTAAGGATCAAGCTGCTATGGGCCGTGAGATGACCCTCTCACACTCGAGGACGTCGCTCATAGTCTCATGTCAGCCTTAATCACCCTAAGACGATACCTCACATCGCAACACAAACAGCGGGGGTTAGATCGCTGAAACTGAATCTGAAAGCAGCTCGTGACGAAAGAGAACTTTGATCGATACGACAGGTTCCACTTTCCGAGAAACGCTGGAACGATTGTGTAATTCTTGGGAAGGTATCATGTTTTTTTTTTCGAGAGTTCGAGAGAAATGCGATGGAAGTGGGTATGGTCGTTTTAGTGAGGCTTCAAATTCCTCGCATAAATTGTTGGCATCAAAAAGTGCTGAGAGAGAGAGAGAGAGAGAGAGAGAGAGAGAGAGAGAGAGAGAGAGAGAGAGAGAGAGAGAGAGAGAGAGAGAAAGAGAAAAAGAAAGAAAGAGAGGGGCATCCGTTGAAATTGGCACAGATAAAGTGACAATCGTGCGTGTATATACTGAGAGAGAGACAGAGACCGACCGACAGACAAACAGACAGACAGACAGACCAACCTACAGATAGACAGACAGACAGAGAGAAAGAGTAAGGTACACCCCTCACTACGCGTCCTCGCTCACCTGAGGTAAACACATCCTCGTGCCCTGTTAAAGACAGTTGATTTGCCTGATTGATAACTGGTATTCAGCATTCTCCTCTGTTGACATGACACCGCGTATTGTGTGGATATGATAGCCCTCTGGGTGGAAAGGATGGTAAAAAATGCCAAATTATTTTTTTTTCGAGATCGTGGATGACTGAAGAAAAATGTTTTGAAGTATATATTTAAAAGATGCACGATAAAGACTTTGCTAACCGCTCATTTGGCAGCAGAGCAAAAATGGAAAGAAAAGGGAGAGAGAGAGGGAGGGAGGGAGAGGGAGAATGAGAGGGAGAGGGAGAGGGAGAGGGAGAGGGAGAGGGAGAGGGAGAATGAGATTGAGAGGGAGAGGGAGAGGGAGAGGGAGAGGGAGAGGGAGAGGGAGAGGGAGAGGAGAGGGAGAGGGAGAGGGAGAGGGAGAGAGGAGAGAGAGAGATGGAGAGAGAGGAAGATAGAGGGAGAGGATGAGGGAAAGGGAAAGGGAGATGGAAATGGAAATGTAGAGATAGTGAAAATGGGAATAAGAATGAGAGTGAGAGTAAGAGAGGGAAGAAAAAGAGGAAGAATAAGAAAGAAAAAGACAGAGACAGAAACAAAGAACAAGAAAGAAATAGAAGAGAGAACAAAAAAAAGAAAGAAAGAAAATACGAAAGAAAGAGAAAGAGAAAAATATAGAAAAAGAAAAAGGAGAACAAAAATTCGAATAAAAGCGACCCGAGCGCCGACGTTACCGCACGGATCCAGGCTGTTGGAGTCGGACCCTCGTGACCGAAGGAAACACGCAAGCAGGCTGGGTGGCGGCGGGAGGAAGCCTCGGCGGCGCTCGGGGATTCTGGAAAATGCGTTTGTGTGTCGCTCTGGAAAAGGGGAGACACGCCCTCGCCAAATTTGCCGTCTGACGAAAAAGGTGGGAAATACAAAAGTAAATATAGATATGAAATTGAACCTCGACTATTTTCAGCGCGGAATGCCAAGCGGGCTGAGTGGGAGTATGAACAGGAAGGCGGACAGGAAGACACGTAAAGGTACTTATATAAAGATTTTAGGCATTAGTAACACACATTATGTATATGTATATATATATCTAATATATATATATATATATATATATATATATATATATATATATATATATATATATATATATATATATATATATATACTTTTCCAAAATGTGCCGAGTCATAGAGAGTAAAACAACGACTAAGCAAGAAACGGCATTAAGGCAGCCAGATTATCGCCCCCCCCCCCTCCCAATAAAAAAGTCGATATTCCAAGCGCAATATGAGATCGCAATAAATCCAGAGCATAGCTTGTTCTGCAGAGCCGCAACCGGAACAGCCACGAGGACCCAATAAGTGCGACCATCACCTGGGAACGCAACAGGTGAAACGCCCATATCACCGCGAGCCCGAAGCCGAGTCACCAGCAGTGTTTGTGTTGCCAGATGAACTCTTGAGCGTTATTTAGCGAGAGAAGAGGCAGGTAGGAGGATGAGGGAGC